ACACATTTCATTGTAAAAAAATATATTTCCAGCCCTCAATCTTCTTATGTAGAATTTGTAACGGAATTTGTAATGGCATATTACTTTCATGAATCATAGATATAATCGATTCTCACACCCATTAATTTATTAAAATCAATGAATCAATCATTATTACATGCCAATTATTTACTTTAGGGGACTGACTTTGTCCTTAATTAACATTACTTTTATTAATATTTTTGGTCTTTTCCCCATTTTTATCCCAGTTGTGCTAATGATGTTACGTTATAAGATTAATATATGGTTATCTCAAAGCATTGCAACCATTTGTTTTAGAGAATGGCTTACAGAAGCAGATATAACAGAGCAACCTCTGAAATTATTTCAAGTGACCTTTAGGCCACACATTCAGGGGCAGCATTTTCTCACTCCTGAGAGTAACCTGTCCTATGATGGTCAAACCAACATTTTTATTCCTTTTGATGAAGTTGGAATTAAACCAAATTAAGTGCAGAACCAAATGTAATGTGATGCTTGTTTGTGCAATCATTGGTAGCAGGGCTGAAACCATAAACCCGCTTCACTTGAGAATCCCGTTTAATCAAAGCTATGTTAAATCTAACGCAGAATCTCGGCGAGCTGCCCAACATCTTCCAATAACTTTTGAATCTCCTTCAAATTTACTACCACTATCCAACACATGAGAGCAGATGGGGTTGCTGAGCTGGTTGTCCGGCAAGGAGACCACAAGTGACGCATACCAAGCAATCACAGCCGGCAAGGTCGCGTACGAGCTGTACAACCGCGTGACAGGCAAGGCTGAGATCGACAAATACAAGGTGCTTGTCCATGCATACCGGGAAATCACCTACGGAGCACACTTCTTTGTGGTCCACTTTGCATGCCTGTAATTTAAGCGTGCATAATAGTTAAGATTACTGATCGTAATTTCTGAAATACTTCCTGATTGATGGCCTTATTATCTTACCTGATAGGATGATCCCAGCCCAGCAACTTTACACCAGATTGATCTTGTCCATTCCGCTTCCTCTTGTCTCTCATTTGTACTCATCCCTTCAACCCATCCCTGTAACCCCATTTGTATTCCTCTCCCTAGGCTGAGTGCCTGCAGGGCATCGTGAATTTCATCCGGGACAACCCAGGAGCCACGAAAACTGCCATCGACCAGGCCGTTCTGCTCCACGTTCAGATATTTGCTGCTCAGGTGGATGCGATGTAGGACTGAAGTGTGACTACGTAAACACCTGTTTGGTGGACATCTTTAGAATGAACCCCTTGTTGGACACCTTGAAGAATCAACATTTTCTGTTAACTTTGCCATGCAGCCTTTTTCATAACATTTTAAATGGTTTATCTATGAGGCATCTAAATACACTCGTATTTCTATGCATCATATTGGAGTGGGCAACAACACCGTGGACTGGAGTGCAACAAGTGTGGGGGAGCCAACACGTGCACATGGGTTCTTAAGTTACGCAAAGTCACAAGCATATTACAATAAATAAATTGGAGTTTTATGCCATGCAATGGATCGCATCGCGCGGATTATCACATTTCAACAATGAACACGTATGTATTGCCATTGATAAGACAATAGGTTTTTCCCCTTTTTTCTGGCAACAAAACAGGAGTTAAGATGTTAAAACACCAAACTGAAACCTTTTACAAGGAATCATGTCTGCATTAACCACAATGCTTGTGGTCAGAATGCAAACAAAACACATACTCTAATAATATGATATTGCCATTGAATTGTGACTTCATATGTACGTCAATAATACAAACAACATTTAAGAATTTGCTTTGAAATGTATCCACAATGCTTGGTTAGCTTCCTTTTCCTTTGTTATTTGGCAGCGATTCGGCATCAAGACGTTGGGTCTCAGTGGGCCGTCGCCTGGTGGATGCAGCAGCGCCACCCAAGGTGGGCGGCAGCCTGCTCCGTCGAATCTCGAAGCCTGATGTTTATGTACTTCAGGGAGGACTTGAGGGTGTCCTTGAACTGCTTCCTTTGTCCTCCCCTCATCCGCTGCCCATTAGAGAGCTGGGAGAAAAGGATCTGGTGGGGAAGGCAGTTCTCAGGTACGCGGAAGCAGTGGCCAGTCCATCAAGGTTGTTTTTTTAGAAGTATTGCTTCAATGCTGGTGGTGTCAGCATGGAGGACACTTGCACTTGATCCCCTGGATTTGATGGAGGCAGTGCTGTTGGAAGCGCTCAAGCGCAATGACATGGCACCAATACATAGACAACCTACCGGCAAGACTTAAAATCCTAGCATACCATCTTTAAAACTATCACATCTACACAAACACCGAGTACACACAACATGTAGCTTCAGATAATTAATTTCGGTGCAACAAAAAACAGATGGTTACTCATGACAGCCACATGGTAGATTATGTTGGCACAAACAAAACCTTTCCGTTAACGCTTATCAGAATATTTATTTATACAGCAGGAATCCGATGAGCTCTAAACCTCTTTTTCACAGGTGTCCAGTCGGGGCAGGTGAGAATAATACAACACGTAACACAAAAACTTGACAGTGAAAAGTATAGCAAATATATACAAATAATACTAAACTATTTTTTATCCTACCAGGTAAAGCCTACTGAGCTATGAGCCTCTCATTCAGAAGCAACCTGGCAACAAATGATAGCTTAATAAACTGGTTTATCTTATAGAAATTTATTACAGCAAAATAATCTAAATAATCTAAACAAATTTTGATTTAAATCTTTCGTGACTGCAGTAATTCATATTCTTAGCTCTTTCGGTAAAGTCACGTTGAAGGGAAATAATAAAATAATAAAATATATAAAACAATAAAAATGCTCACGACGTTTCGACCATAACACCGGATGGTGACCGTTTGTGTTATTGTCGAAACGTCGTGAGAATTTTTATTGTTTTATATATATTTTATTATTTCCCTTCAACGTGACTTTACCGAAAGAGCTAAGAATATAATCTAAACAAATGTTTGTACAAGTGACCCCATCATATCAGATGTTTATTAATTTCCTTCCTTCTGAGAAACCTAGACCATTATCGCTCACTAGGCGGGTTAGGATTGAAAACTAACTACAGGCAGTCCCCGGATTATAGGGATGAAACTACAGTAATTAAAGAAAACAGTACGGGAGGCACAACTATTTCCGGCTATGGGATTTTATCTAGATTTGGGGGAAATTGTTGAGTTTCCGACACGGAAAATTCAGGTTGCGGATCTTCCTCGGGAACCTAACGCTTCCGTAACCCGGGGATTGCCTGTAAGGAGGGAGCATCTGATATCAGTCTAAATCTCTAAGTCTCCAATGTGTCTGCTAAGGTGCGCTTGTGTGTGTATGCAGTGTGTCTCCGGCTCGTCTTCTTTCTTCCTTGAGTGTCCTTCTTTGTGTAGTCCGAGCACTTGGGAGCTCTCTTTGTGTCCTTGATGCCACCCAGTTTGAAGACTGAGAGTCCTCGATGTCCACTGGGATGGCATTCTACTCTGGTGACCTACACATAGCACACATCATCATCACCACAATTATTCCACTGGCCAACGGCACCACAGAAAACTACCTGTCATTGAAACTACCTAGATAAATTAATTGCACCGAAAATGGCTGATAACTCACGTGGTAACCACCTTCAAAATATAATTGTGGGCCGAGTAAGAGTGTGTACAACACTGTCAGACAACACTGTTTGACTTAGGGTAAATTCTCCAGTTTGAGGTTTTATGGTTTGTGAAAATACATCATGAGTACAACTTACCTCATATAGAAGAGGATGTAGGCCTGGTCTTGAAAAACTTCTGAATTGGCGACTGGCTCCACGTCAGCATCGTCCATTCTGAACCAGCTGCCATTGCTGACCTGAAGGAAAAAATACATCTACACTTAATTACGATCATTACCCAATTGCACCTGACTCATTTAAAAGCCAGCCATAGTGACAGATCATGAAAGTAGAATGTTATATGGAAGTTAACACGTGTACTAATATGCTTCGTGTGTGTGTATGTATTATCATAGTGGGAAACATTAGCGTAGCGGTTAGCACATTGCACTACGAACCCGGCAACCAGAGGTCGATTCCCGCTTACAACGTAACACCAGTGACGATTATCTCAACTGGTCCTGGGCCTCATTCCCTCGGTCCACTCAGCCTCAAATGAACACATGGTGCAATATGTAAAAAATACCACTCAGGGGACAAAGGCGGCCGGGCGTAGTGCTGGCCACCCACCCCCGCGTGTGTCATTCTGGCTTTGACAGGTGCTCATGAACAGCACTTGCCCCAACAGTCGGGTAAGGCTATATGGGGGATATTTGTTTTTTTCGTTTATCATGCAGAACATCACCTTGTTGTACGAGTAGTAGTGGCCGCTATTGGTGGTGGTCCCGTGGTGCACAATCACTGAGTAGAGTGAATAAAGTTCCGACTCTTGCACAACCTGATTGGACATAAACGGCCGTATGTCCAGTTTTTCAGGGAAGAGGAACTCCTACAAGGGATGAGGGAGGAGACAGTGATGGGCCAAGCATTAAAAGAGAGGAAAATAGGGAGCTGGCTAAGCAGGGGCAGAAGAGGGGAGCAAATTAACGTATTGGCGGTACACTGGTGCACCCTATATATATAAAAAAACTAAAATCACATTTTTCACAATGATGATATATTTTCCTGCGATTCGCAACCCATTTCAGGAAATATTGTGGGGGTGTGTCAAAATAATTTATCGTGATCTCAAATCAGTCGGAAGATGAGTGTCGATTCACATTTTGATGTTCTACTGTTTTATGAGGACCGGTGTGTCATGCTGCACCGGTGTACCGCCAATACGTCCAAATGACAAAAAAAAACGTTGAATACAAATATATCTGAATATCAGATTGCATTCTGTGCAGCAAGTAAAATTCACCTCGTCGATTTTGTTGCCAAACTCATCGTATCGCTTAATGGTGACGATAAGCACATTGGGCACCACGTGCAGGCTCACTCTCTTCGTCGATTTCCCCACGCGTGAGCACCTGTTCGCCAGACAATAGCAACGTTAGTTTACGGACGAGGTGCGTGTTTGATCACACACTGTATAAATGGGGATATACACGAACGTTTCAAGGTGCACGATGGAAGATTGCATACTCACATTCCACATCTGTATTCTGCAAGATTCTCGGTCTTTGTGAATTCATAAAAAGCCTTCACCAGGGATTTCTGTCAAAAGCCAAGAAAGCACAATAATGGAAAAGTATTACTTTGAATAGAAATTCAGAAAAAAATTAGCTAAGTTGCTCTCTGCAGTCAACTGGTTGTGGTACATAAATATAATGAATGACAGAAAAAATCGACATCAGGCTGCAGCCTTCCCAATTCTTACGTTGATATTAAGAGAGATGTCAAGGCAAGCGTCCAACGTGTCTGAGATGCTGAAGCACTGCGTGCACTCAACTGTGAAAACACATAATATGAAAACATACAATATTACTGCTGCACATTGCATAATCATAATCAAAAGTATTCACACGTTAACTGCCTAATATCATGAAAATTTTCAGATACCACCAACCCAGATGCGACTATAATTATAAACATATTTGGTGAAAACTATAATGGCTATTAAATACATTTATTGTTGATACTGTGTTGGCAGTGGTGCCCTAACATAAATCACAGGTACTCAACACATTCGTCAATAGCACTGCCTTACAAGTAAAAATATGCAATTGGTGACATTTTCAGGAGTGATCATTATTCATAGCACAGAAGCCAGAAACATAGGGTGGGCTACGAGTTGGATACTGCACTGTACACCACGTGGCCTGATGAGAAATTACATTTGGCGTACACAAAGCTTTGATTAACTCTTGCGTAATAAACGTGTGAAATCTACTTCCGTATTCGGCATCTTTACTCACTTGTGTAGTCAATGATGATCGGGATGGTCTGATAATAATACAACTTTCTACTAACGATGAAATACCGGCAACTACAAAACACCGCTCAGTGCCACGCGCACGATGGCTCCGCCCTCTCTGTCCAAAATGGCTCCACCCCTTTTTACCCTGAGGACCTCATCGAAATACTCTACACATGTATGATGACAAACTAATTTGTATTCAATGTTAAAGTTTAAAATGTTGCTGGCAGATTGCATGTTGGGTAGCCTCGTCGCAGCGTGGTCAAAGAAATAAGCATTAGCACAATCCAGTTAATGATGTTCGCATATTGTTTTATATTTTTATTATTTTATTGTTTCCCTTCTACGCGGTGACTTCACCGAAAGAACCAAGAATATGAATCCCTGCAGTCACGAAAGCTTTAAATCAAAAAATGTTCGTATAGTTGATGTAACACCTTTTAACCCAAGAACTCCACGGGAATGGGAGTAGAGTGAATGATATAACTTGTAAACAATAAAAAAGAAACGGGAAAGGGAATGCATATTTTGTGCATGTGTGCTTATGTCCTTGTGTACGTGTGTTTTTTACATCTACAGAGAATATAAGGTCGCATGCGAGAGCTTGCATAGCCCAGTATGGATTGTGACATTGGGTGAAATCACTACTTAAAGGGTGGATGTTTCCAAAAGGAGCACAGGTACCTACCTCTCGATTTCAGGTACCCCCTGAAGATCTGGTGGATCAATGTTGGGGTCTCCATGTCAATATTCAGCCTGGAAAAACACGCAATGAAACACACAGACAGCAACTCCAGAGGCAATGTCTTTACCAGATGAACACTCGGGAGAGTTACATGTTTTTCCCTCCTAGTATTAACTCGCTGAAGTGGCAGTCTTAACTACCTCGCCAGCTATACAGGTTATGGGTTTGATCCCAATGCTGACGCCTGTAAATTTGCAGTTGGCATTTACTCCCTGTGGTTGCGTGAATTTTTTTTATACGAGCCCACCGATTTTTCCCTCCACATTTAGAAACATGCATTTAGTGTATTTGTTAAATAATAATTAAAATAAAGTGAATACAAATATGAATAATAAAATATACAATTAAAATAAAAAAACAAAAAAACCCACTAATGTAGACTGGTTCTTAATCGGAGTGAGCGTACTGGCAGTCTATAATGTAGACTGTAGTCTAGTTCTTAACCTCGGTGAGCGTACTGGCTGTCTATAATGTAGACTGTAGCCTGGTTTTTAAGCTTGGTCAGCGTATTGGCAGTCTATAATGTCGACTGTAGGCTGGTTATCCTGAGAACAAATATTTTTTCTGAACAATCCAGGCATCCATGTGCTGGTATTGTGCAACTATTTATGAGTTTGCTGGGGCATGCAGTACTTACTGGCTTTGGTTGAAGAGGCAGGATTGGTGCAGGGTATCTATCACGTAACTCAGAAAGACATGCGCATCTTCCTGCCTGCCAAAACACAGGTCCTCGCCGATGTCTGTGTGGAAATGGACAGAGGTTACAGATGATGTGGTCACACAGTTGCTGGCACAGTTAGTATATAACTTATGAAGTCCCTCATCAACTAAATCGGAAGATTTGTGGGTTAATCACAGAACTGGGTGTGGCTGGCAGTGTTTAGAACGAGCATCAAGAGAGTAATGCAAGACCGGAAGAACATCCGATGCATTGGAGTTGTAAAATCAGTGCTGACCAAAACGAGTAATTTTCTGTTCGATATTGTATACAAAAACTGATTCAAACTGCCCTTTCAGGAGATCTTTAGATGACCGATATTTCAACGTCAAAGACACTTGGGAATTGTGCTGGAACTTACTTTTGAAATTGAGAACTATGTCAATGGGATTGATGGCCATGCCCCGATTCATGAAGGTGTTGAAGACGTGTTTCTCCAACAGACACATCATGCAAAACTCAGTCTGTTTGCCTGTGAAGTGGGGCAGGGGTGACACACAGTGAAAATACAAACCAATCGCACAAATTGCTCAGCTGCGCACAGCCAAGTAATCTACACAACACTCGATTGTAGCTCGTCTCGAATGCAAAATATCTGGGAGAACTCACAGGTCCCTGAGTGATCGCTGTAAAGCAAAAAGTTTGCCAGCGGCGCCGTGTACGTGAGGCCCTGCAGGCTGGCATTCACGAAACACGTATTCCCGAGGTTGTTGAGCCCAGCACCCTCATGTAGATCCTCCTGCCACTTGAGAACTAAGTTGTCTGTCGCAGGTGTTATGAATTCTAAAGATGGAATGCTGTCCTCATCTGCACACATGATATGATGGAAACACATCATTAACACTCACAGCACTTTTATAATAACTCACAGCACTGCTGAAGGGAATGGTTTAAAAATTGGGTGCCTTAGCCTGTACCCGTGCTGGCATTTTTTTTTGTGGTGCTGTTAGGTAGACACAATCGTCTTCACCAGCTGGCGAGATGTAAATGTATTAAATGTTTTTGAAGTGTTCAGCACTAGTAATAAGAATTGCCTGAAGAGCATCTTCAGCCTGTAAGTTTTACATCGACAGCAATGGCTAGACAACCACAGCAGCGTGACGAGATATCAAAGTGTACGTATGTGTGCACGTTGAACTTCTTTCACACCGCGCGTCGCCATCCATACTAATCAGAGGGACAGGGTCACGCCAGCAAACACTTACCTCCCGCATTAGGTTTGTGCAGCCCAGTCGTGTTGGACTCGGTCACGAAAGACACGGCGGATGGAACGGTGCTGTGTTGGATCTCCAGCCCCTTGTCATCTGCTGCTGACACCGCCGGGGGTGATGTGGATGCCTCATCCTTGACGACGATGCTGGAGATGGTGTCCCCTTCTGCCCGTTGAATACTCTTTGCCTCCTCCTACGGTAACAGTAAAAGCAGCCTTAAGTCACGGACACGCATCGCCACTACACTGCAGCATTGCTCAAACTGCGAAGTGCGGATTCTTATTTCGAATAATGTTGCTGCACTTTAAACAACATGGCAAGCCAATCTAATAATGGAGACTCTGCTTTGCTTTTAGATACCTAGGATCTATCCTTGTTTCCAAAGAAGTTGGACAAAAACATACTCCATGTCTAAATTCTCCTTAGTGATATTCTGAAGACGTTACATTAAAAAGATGCATGTGATATCACTTGAGCGCAAATACAGACCCATATGGACACACATTCCCATACGGGTATACATCCCATCATATGCCCTCCCCATTCTTGCAGTGCGTGAAATTGGAAATCATGCATATTTTAAAACTCAAATGGCATAATGTGCTATTCATGCATCGGTTAGCAATCTGGTGTTGTCGTACGGAATTTGGTGCTTCAATTTCCTGGCATGTCAGTAGAAATACATCCTTCCCACCTTTATTCACCCAGCAGTATAAATAGGGACACCACAGGTAGTCGATGGACAAGCCATGTGTGTTGTGGGGTCAGTTGTGGGTGCTCCCACATTTTCCAAGATATTTGGTGGGTGTAGAAGGTGAGTTTCCTCTCGTGCAAACCCAACCGCGAGCAATCGTATGATCAAACAATTTCAAGGCTGCACCTTTACGTGTGGACTAGTCTTCTTTGCAAGTTTTGCAACGTAAACTTAAATAATTTTTTACCTTAATTTTATCAATACTGATCTATACTACAGGTTTTTTTTCTTGTTAGATCGTGTAAATATATAAATGTTTCGTTAAACCGGCCACCACCCGACACAGCCAATTAGTAATGTTTGTCACGTAAACAGAACGTGCCAATTCGTTACGAGTACAGCACACCGGTGTGTTGGAGAGCCAAGACACAACATTTACAATCCGAGTACGACGTTTCGCCAGTAATCTAACCCAAAAGAAAAAAAGAAAGGAAAAAAACGGTATTATGGATGATTTTGCTCGCGAAAGCATACGTGATAATTGAATTTTGCCTAATCACCTACTGTGATATATCCTGCCTCTTTGCTGCTCCTACAGCCTCCCTTACCTTAGTCAGATGATCTGCATTGCTTTCATCAAATGATGATGTCTCCTCACCGTCCTTCCCCGCACCTCCGAGCAGCACGTTTGCCTAGGTACGGTGCGAAAGAAGTTCAACATGCATCACGACTTTAAACTGGTGTTGCAGCTTTCAAAAGACTCGAAAGAGGGCTGCCTTTTTTATCCTCACTTTCTGACTCAAACTGTTGTTGAAGCTTTCAACAACGTGAGCCTGCTTTATGTCGGCTTTAGCGTCACACTCTGTGGGAAGATTATATAACTTGGCTCAACGTAGTTTTTTAGGTAGTTAGTACGAGTTTTAAATTAATGTAGTGCTTCAGGCTTTCCCTGTCCATATATAGGTAAACCAAATCAACCTCTGAACTTATATTTTTCGTTCTCCAACTAAAAAATAAATTGTTATTGAATGTTTCTAGTTATTAGCACAGACTCCGGTAGATGTACCCAGTCACCTGCTGTGATTTATCCTCCCTCTTTGCTGCTCCTACAGCCTCCCTTACCTTAGTCAGATGATCTGCATTGCTTTCATCAGATGATGATGTCTCCTCACCGTCCTTCCCCGCATCTCCGATCAGCACGTTTGCCTAGGTACGATGCGAAAGAAGTTCAACATGCATCACG